TTAATCTTATTTGGATGACGTATTGGTTTTATTGAAATATATGGTAATAAATTACGCTTTTGTCTAAATCGACCAACCCAACCCAACCCGACTGATACTTGATTGGGTTGGGTTTCAACGTGTATTTGGGTTGGGTTGAAATTAGATCAAACCGACCGTGTTGGATTGAGTTGGGTTTGGGTTGGGGGAAAAACCGACTCAACCCAACCCACGCCCACCCCTCAGTATGACCACCATGAATAAATAATAATTCTGGGGGCCCCATCTTCAGCATCCTCAGGTGACCGTTCTTCATCAATCCTGTAAACAAGAGTGGAAAATTTAGTTATGTGTTCAGATATTTTCATCTACCTCTTTCTAATTAGAATAATGTTATCCCCACCAGTTTACGTGACATTATGTGATGAGTTCAATTAAAAGTAAAATTATTTAATGACTCTTAGTATCACATAGACTGATGGTATTGTAACACTATTGATACTAAATAACATTACTCTTCTAATTAATCAACTGAACGTCACGGAGTTTGGTCTACCTTTACTCATAAATTGCATGGTTACACATAGGATAAGTAAAATTACAAGCTTTATGCAAGATCATCAAGCTTGCTTCCATCGAATAACAAGTTCAATAATTAGATAAAACAATCAAAAAAACAAGAAAAAAATATGTATAGGACAACACAGTAAAGAAAAATGTGAAAAGGTTGAGAGAGAATCCATGAGAATGCTTCCAGTGAGAGTACTAAGCAATATGTGGTTCGGACAAGGGAAAAAGATGACTACCGAAAACAAAATTCTGACCACGCAAGATTCATCTAAAAGTTAGGAAGACTTGACATGAACTAGAGAGTATCTCTGGCACTTCTATTAGGATTTAGCTGACCAGTTATCTGCTGCCAATGACAAACAAAACAAAACCCATTCTTCGACTGTTTGTATAGGCTAATTAAAAATAGACAGCAGTAAACTTTAAGTTGCAAGAAAGCATCCTCTTGTCAGGAATAGATATACTAACTCAAAGAGAATGAGAAATTGTGGTAACAAATACATTCTCCTTGTATATGGACTCGACGACTTTTTAAATCATTTCATACATGTTTAAAATTTGAGCATCAGATTTTGAGTACTCTGTATCTTGACAACAACATGTCAGTTCATATACATTTTTTAATGGATAACTTCAACTAAAAAGGATTAATAACGTCTGATAAGATACCGTTGTCATTATTATTATGTGGTAACTGCAGGAATAATTCCAATCTGTTTATCCTTCAAGAGAATAGGAAATAAAGACACCCACCTCATTTTGATAAGCAAATACTGATTGAATAGGCTTGCTGACCGATGGAGTACAGAGATCCCATAGATGCAGATACTGATCATTTCCAACTGAACCAAACTAGTACTCATGCCTGAGATGCCGCACTACATCTTAGACAACTCCTTCATGAATTTATCTTAGCACGAATTAGATCAATACAATAAAACTACGCATGTCAACGTAATAAACTCGGGAATAATAACTCAGAGATGAATTCCTACACATTGCAAATAAGAGCAAGAATATTGCACTTATAAGCATGCTTATGATTTATTATGGACCTTAAATATCTGCATTGCATCTAGAGTCTTATTTTCTGGAGTTGCATTGATGTTCCACAGGCATATTTGGGCATCATCAGAACCACTTAGTAAATGACCCATGCTTGAATCAACTCCAAGACAACCCATAAATTTGGGAAAGAACAACAAATCAAGCATATATTAACAATTATAACCTGGTTATTTTTATTGCAAAAGATTGTGGGAAGTTCAAATTTTTTGATTTATTCATCAACCAGATTGTAGAATGCCGAAGTATCTAATGAAGTCCCAATTGCATACACATGACTGAATTTCCAAAATTTAAGGAGGCAACCAAGCTACAGAAAATAACAGGCTAATTATTATTTGAATAAATACTATAAGCTGATCCAAATCCAAGATGTAAATTTAAGGTGAATGCATGCAACAGTTCCACCTCCACAAATCTCACGAATGGGGAAATTTTCTAATTCGTCAGTTTTTCAGCAATGACCAGCTCAATTGCTGTTTTCCACAACCACAGGTTCCTTTTTTCCATTTTTTTTCCTGTGATGTGTGAAAACAAGAATTCCATGTTTGGCAGCATAAGCTTGAAGCCTTGGTATTGTACTTTATGAAACACAATTCAAATTTGAACGAAATGAATCATTTCTACCACTTTGAGGCCCCATTTCCATGGTACCAAAAATCCAATGCTTTCCATTCTCAAACCCAATATCAATAGCTATGGCCAATTTCTTCCTGCCAGAAAAGAATATCCACAAAACGAACACACAAGGGAATTTTTTATTTAAAAAGAAAACTCTATACCAACAAAACACTAAAATTTCAGAAAAAAAAGGCAACCTTGCCGTCAGCGCAGCCAAATCCCTCAAAATCCTAGCGGTCATCCTCGTAATGTCTTGCCTCATTCTCAGCATCCTCGAGGGGAAGTTGAACCTGAGCCAACATGAGATATTTGGGCTCGTCCTCCGAAGTATGAGTCCCGGGAATCATCTTCTGGACCGAGTAGTCCTTTTCTAGCGGCTCCTCCCGGTCCGGCAGCCACTCGACCGTAAGAGACGGGTCATTCAAGAGCTTGAGTAATCAAGGAATGGGGTATTCTTCTTCCAAATCTTGTACTCCAAATCTGTATTTACGATATTAAACAATAGAAATAATATATTTTTTGGGTAAATCTAGTTATTTTTTTTAGTTAAGAGAATCATAGGCATTCACATTTACTCGAAAATCTACGAAGACGTGCATACGAACAATTAGGATCATCTATAATAAGTACTAAAAACAATCTCAATTTTTTGAACAAGAAATTTACAAAATTGATTACCATTTACAATTGTCCTTACGAGAATAACCATCTACTAAATATTGAATACCAACTTCACTATTGTAAGCAAACAAAAAAAAAAAAACTTTACTAATGTAAGCAAAAATGATCAAACAAAAAGAAAAAGGAAATCCTGATTATGCAAATTGGTCTAATGCCTTCTCTTCACTTGGCTTATCGAATATCCAATTGAAAACAGTTGCACTAAACCTGGATCTCCAATGAAAAATTTGTTACTGTCGAATACCAAATGGATTGGATCGCGCGTCACGCGTCTTAAGACCAGATTCTTGGTACTGTATGAACATCGTTAGCAAGCATGGCTAGAGTACTTCATAAGATGCAATCTTTGTCTTACAAAAGGTCGATGATAGTGTCACTCTTCACATTTGATCATTGCTTCTAAAGTCTAAGTTCGCTTGACACTTGTCTCCTGAAAAATGTAGAAAGAACTGTCAAACGGATAAAGTGTCATTTTGTGATAAGGACATTGTGAAAAACATTATTCGATTAGACTCTAACAAAACAAGTGCCACTTTCCTAAAATAAGCTCATCCTTGCTTATTCCTTTTCCAAGCATTCTTATCAAAATAATTCATCTTATACACTTGCAGTTAATACAAAACCGCGCATTCTACTTTTGCTTTTTCACATCTGTGGAAAAAATGAAGGGAAAGTATACAGCATTTGTCTTTCATCTCAATTAGAACTATTGTGATTCAGCTGGAGATGGTCATTCCCGGTCTCTGCTAAAATATGACTAACTGTTCTAAGTAAATACTCAATGCCCTAGTTGGCTTACAAAGTTGATCATGATATTGTCATACTGTGAATTTCTTTGTAAACTGTTATATCTTTCCATTTGAACCATTCACAGAATATATAGATACAAGGAGGAATAATTTCAGGGCCCATTCTTAGCCTATACGATATACACGGCTGAACTCATGGTGGATCCTTGAATTAAGGGATTTGATACAGGCATACAGATAAGGTTTCTATTTTCTTGTGATCTAATGACTCACACCAACACTCCCCCTCAAGTTGGTGCATAAATATCTCTAATGCCCAACTTGTCCAGGTATAAATATTTGGGAAATGTAGGTAATACTAAACTTTAAACTTAAAGCATATTGTAGGACTAATGGCTCTTCCAATCTCAAAAAACAACTTTTATCAGTCACCAATTCAGCAAAGATAAGGGGATACATAGTCACGTAATGTCCGCAAAATGTAAAGTAAATATTAAACTTTATTTAGTTGTTGATACCTACCTCACTATCTTCAATCACCAATTCTCTCAACAGTAAGTTCTTTTAGAACCGCATGCCATAATAGTTTGGAGATACAGGACTCGGGAACGTTGAAGGTCGTTTCCTCACAAATGGGTGCTTCAATAGTCGAGCAGCAGTGGGCCGATCATCAGGGTTAACTTGTAAGCATTTGACAATAAAATCCTGAGCATCTCTTGATAAGGTATTGGGTATAGGAGGTAGTTCACCCCGTCCAATTCTGAACAATGCTTGCATCTGTCATGCAACAAAAAGAAATGCTCACTACTAAACTACTTACCATGTAACAGTGGAAAGGCATCTTATTCTCCCAAAAAACAAGCAGAGAAGTAAAAGACGTCGTAACTGAAGAGAGCGCGATAAAACACAATTCAAAGCAATCATCAGACATGCCACCAAGCATTTAAAGTGAATATTGTAAACAAGGCATGTGATTGAAACTAATTACTAGAAAAGTGCCTTGTTCCCGTCCAGATAATAAAACAATGTTGTGTAAAAGCAAAATTTCCAGATATGCGAAAGTGTCATGGCAAAATAATAGATCATTTTTTTCTTTTCACCTCTTCGTGTAATTAAACAGGCACAACATAACCAAATAATTTCAGAAGACAATTACACAGAAAAATGCGAACCACCACATAATCGAGAACTAGATTTTCACGCAGACTCCAATGCGAGTGATATAAACAACTGGAGTACAGTCTACCTCAAGTCCTCGACAAATATCGTTAAACTAAAAACAGCATGATCTCACCAGAATCTAATAAGAAGGAAATAGGAAACCATAAAGCAAACCAGTAAAATCTCAGTCCAAAAAGAAATTAAGAAATTCAAGTAATAAATGGTTGTAAAAGGCCATCATCACAGAGCTTAATGAAGGCATAAAAATTTAATAAAAAGAAATTAAGAAATCTACATAAAAGATGGTTGGCAGAAGTGACCATCACAGAGATGAATGAAGGCACAAAAATGAATTTCAGAAACCTCCTTAAAAATTTGTGGCACGAGTATCTTACAATTCCTTCATGAAAATATAAGAAGAGAACCAGTCAAAAAGCTTTAGGAAAACTAGTTCAGAACAATTTTATACGAGTAAAATTGGCTACTTGTGTCTCCCAGGTATATTATTGTTTAATAAATTAGACTTTCTGATAAGATTCTCTTTCCTGTTCTACACTAGAGAGATAGAATGAACCATATTCCCAGGGACGGATCCAGGACTGAATTACAGACCGAGCTAATACGTTAAAAAAAAAAATTACACAAGAAATTTTTTTTTT